AATAAAAAAATAAAAAAAAAAACAATAGTACTGACATGCCAATGTTTTTGCATATCCCATTTACTGAAGATACTACTGATAGCATTATCCATATTCATTTCTGTTCCTGTAATCTCTTTCAGAAAAGTTCCTGAAAATGAAATGGAAGAGAGGGCTTTGCCAGAACCTGAAGAGGAAGTGAAAGAGGAAGTGAAAGAGGAAGTGAAAGAGGTCGACCTGGATGACCTCACAGAGAGAATTATGCGGGAATACATTTTCTTTACGGAAGAAATGGATGAAGAGGAACAGCTCATTAAGAGTTTGGAGTATGAAAAGGAAAAGTTGTAAGTTTCTTGTGCACAATGATGAAATTAATTTCTTCACAGTTTCCGATCTGTGGGAACCGACGACAGTGTTTTGCTTTGTGTGTGTTTGTGCAGACAAGAGAGGTTGAACCAGAGGGACAAGGAGATGCAGAAAATGGCTCTCCTCATTAAACAAGAGGAAGATAAACCAGAAAATATAAAAAGCCAACTGAGTAGTGAGGATTCGGGCGTCATCACTAGAAGACTGAGAGTAAGTGCACAACGTGTCCCATCACACACAGACTGTACGGCTGATCTGTCATACGTGATCTCATAACTCATGCTTTTGTCTCGCCAGGTCAAATGGTACTGTGAGAAGTTGACGGACGTTTACATGGAGATCTTTAAGCGTTCCTGCAGCCTTCATTTTCCAAGTCTTATCCTGGTAGACCTTGATGAATTGACTTCAAACTTGTTGGAAAACATGACAGATGAAGCACACGTCAAACTGCTAAACCAGTTTTGGAAACACAAAGCCATAAAGTAAATATATAAATTAGGGCTGTGCAAAAGTTAATTGCGATTAATCGCATCCAAAATAAAAGTCTGTGTTTACATAGTATATTTGTGTGTGCTGTATATAATTATTTTGTATATATAAATACACACACATGCATGTATATATTTAAGAAAATGTGTTATTCCTATATAAAATATTTATATTTATATAATATAGATTATGTATTTATATATATATACAGAATTTAAGCGCAAATAATTCTTAAATATATACATGCATGCATAGGTATTTATATATACAAAATAATTATATACAGCACACACAAATATATTATGTAAAACAGACTTTTATTTTGGATGCGATTAATCGCAATTAACTTTTGCACAGCCCTAATATAAATGCATGTCTTCACGACACAAAGTGATAAAGCTACTGTGATGATCATTTTATGGTTTGATAAAACTGAGCTCTTGCTAATTTAACTCTTGCTTTCTCTCTATCACAGTGGCAGGATGGAGAGTGAGGCTAAGATGAAAGCACGGCGAGAGAGACGGATACAGGAAAGACGGGAGATTGCTCTTGCTCCTCCAGTGAAAATAGTAGGTGGCACACAGAACCTGCACTACTTCCCTCACACGTGTGTCTTGCTCATTAATATTTGAATATGAATCAATAGTGTGATGCTGACTTAAAAATCACATCTCTATTGCAGGTGGGAAAAAAGCTGATGCCACGCATGCTGCCTCCAAAGAAGGTTGAGAAAAAGGAACAGGATGAACCCAAGAAGCAGGAGTCGAATATACACTGCCTTCCCTACTAGACTACAAGAAGAACAGACAGGAGACGGAGGGAGGAAGGAAGGAAGGGGGGTTTGTTTATGTTGTGTTCTTTATATTAGATTCTCATTAACCCATTAAATAATATATCAGTGCATTTCTAGTAGATATTGAAATTGAATATGTAATGTAATAATATGTAACCACACACCCCACACGCACACAAACACCGTAACACACACCCACACGCACATCTTGCTATTAGTGAACAAAACTATTAGAACTATTAAAGCTATTAGTGAACTAAAACAATTTCTAAAGCTAGGTCTTCTAAACAATAAATCGCTCACACCTAAAGCGGTTATTGTAAATGAAATGGTCACAGATAATAATTTCGATGTTCTGTGCCTTACTGAAACCTGGCTTAAAGCAAATGATGATTTCGGTCTAAATGAGTCTACTCCGCCCCGTCTGATCGGTCGTGGTTAGCATGTGGTAAGCATTTTCACATTTAGTTTCGAAGCTCTGGAATAGCCTTCCTGATATCAGTTTAAAACTACTTTAAAACTAGACTAAAGACGCATTTATTTAGCCAGACGTTCATATACATTTTTTATCTTACAGTTATTGTAAATTTGGCCTCTAGTTCATAAACGCCAGAGGAGAACTGGCCGCCGACTGAGCCTGGGTTCTCCCAAAGTGTGTTTTTTTTCTCCATCGGGTCACCTGGTGGAGTTTTCCGGTTCCTTGCCACTGTTGCCTTTGACTTGCTCAGTTATTCAAATTAAACGACCTATCATAACTCTACCAAACTTGATTGTCTTTTTTTTCATGAATAAACAAACACTGTTAAGTTGTCTTGATTGATACTGTGAAGCAGCTTTGATACAATCTGTATTGTGAAAAGCGCTATATAAATATATTTGACTTGACTTGACACGCACACACTGCACAGGTCAAATAGACCTATATTCAGTCTGTCCAATCAATGGCTGATACAACACAGTTTCCCACCGTTTTAAAAAAATTCAAAAAATTATCATTGATTGTTTTAAAGTGATACTAATGATGACACATGATTTGGATATTGAAAAATTTGGGATTAAATGGTTTAAATGATAATATATTGAGAAAGTATTTTTGATTAAACGTAATACATTTTTCATATGTATTCTCTCGTTATTTCATCTGACTCCATAAATGAAAAGGTTTTAAATAAAATCTGCACATCATTAAATATAAGTGAAACGTTTGATTGTTCCTTTTAACTCTAATGATATAATATCAAAGTCAGTTAGAATCATCAAATGTAATAATTTTAGAGGTTTTGCACTTATATACACAATATATTTATATAGTTTACTTATAATAATTGTATTTTTTGACTTTACATGTTTTTTTCTATTAAGGTCTATGTAATTGTGTCTCAACTTGACAGTACAAAATCCTAATGTGTTGTCTAAACACAAACCATTAAAGTGTACGTCCAGAGGGTGGCAGTACACTGTAAAAAAATATTTTCAAGATTTGTTATCACAACATTTTTTCTTTTGTCAAATCAACTTAAATAATTTATTTAGTTCAGGTAACTTATTATTTTGAGTTTCTGATGGTTAAATCAATCTCCTTCATTGTATTAACTCACTTTTTCTAGTTCAATCAACTTAAACTTTTAAGGCAACCAGGTTACTTCATTTTTTAAGTTAAACCAACAATATTTTTTACAGTGTATAGTGCGAGCCGACTGCCATTTTGCCCGAACTTAATTTTATTGTGTTCAATCTGCTTAAATCTACGAACAACTTAAGTTTACTTAATCCGTTTGTGTTGGATTACATGATTGATTTGTGTTGCCTGAACTGAAACTGGGCAGTGCTTTTAGTTCCCAGCATGCTTTATATGGTTGAATTAACAGAGAATAAATGTTAAAATGAAGTGTTATTTTATGTTTTTTTGAGAAATTTAGAAAAGGGGGAAGACTTGATAGTGTTTAATAGTGTTTAATGTTAAATTGCACTGGAATTTAAATTACAGTGGGCCTATTGGGGAGAAAAGTGGAGCATTTTATTTGTCGACTGATTTCATAATTTTCTATTGCTTTGGATGAAGGAGCATGTAAATCTTAGCATTCATCTGCTAGCAAATAGCTAGCTATAGTCTATCAATTTAATTAAATGTCACTGAATCAAATGAAATATAAATGAATGAATATAATAAAATGCCTTTGAATCATGTCAGGAAGCCTTTAAAAATTCACGCTGAGACTAATCTATTATGTTGAAGTTACATGAACAAATGATGTTTGTTTAACGTAATCCAGTTATGTGGAACCTGTTGACAAATTAAAATTAATTAAAGCCAACATGTAATTTTTTTGAGTGGTAAATTTATCATCAGTTCAAAGATAATCAATACAAAACATCAAATGTTCAGGAATAAAGAGAAGACGCACCCGACATTTAAGGAATACATAAAGCTGATAGATTCGAACTCTGAGATACAGAAAAGGGGCCCGAGCCTTCTGCCGCATTTCATTATATAGACAGACCACATTTCATTTGTAAACATGAGTTCACAGTGGAAATTTACCTTAAACACTGTCCCAGACTTACTGGGGGTGGAAGATGATTAGCATTAGCATTGAGCTAACACCTTCTGAGAGCAGGAGGGTCTAACCATCCACTCCTTTGTGTGTAAGTTATCTCTAAACTCTAAAAAAAACTTATTATTTTACTTATTTGGAAATAAGACATTTGTACCAGTTGCACTGAGACATTTTAAACGATACTAAACATGCATAATACTCGAAGATAATCATTTACATTAAACCATCCTTGTGTGAGTTTGGGTGATCTTGATGGGCTTCAAATGTTAATTTGCTTTGTTCTCTCAGAGAGTTGCGCTTTTTAAACCTAAACATTTGAACACATTAAATCTAAACATTTGTTACGTGTTAAACATTTGTTAAAAACATTTGTATTTATTTAAATTATACAATATATATATAAGTGTGTGTGATATGTAAGTTTAGGGTTAGTGTAAGGGGACAGAATATACAGTTTGGACTGTAAAAACATCAATCTATGTAAACAACGTCTATGGAGATCCCCACAAAGTAGTGAATCAGACTGTGTGTGTGTGTGTGTGTGCACAACTGAAGCAGTATTTGGTAAACCAAATAAAGCATATTATGAAAAGATCACCACACAAGTCTTGAGCTTATCTAAGGTCAGTAACCATCCAGAACAGGCTGTTTCCCATCACACAATCAGCAGCAGCAGCAACATTCACATGTCTTTCACCCAGTTCTTCTATAGCATATGGCGTTATCACAATCGACCAATGGGTGGCTACGAGGAGCAGGTTGATTAGCTGACGTCACGGACGCAGAGAGCGCGCTCAGTTGGGAGGAGGCTCGCGCACGAGAGCAATCCGCGTATTTGTGTGTCGTATAGGCCAGGGATGTGAGCGAGGGGCGACGATAATGGGGAATAACCGGGACCCCGGTGCTCTGGAGTGGACACAACGACTGGACGGTGATCATAAAGGGGGTTAACGTGAAGGTCAGCCATCTCTAGAGTGTTCAAAAACAGATTGATGGATTTTATTGGGCTAAATGATAGATTGATTGTCACTGGAGACGCTGAGGCAAGACAGTGATTAGAGCTGCTCATATAACCATACTGGAAACGATTTACCCATTTCAATGGCGTTACCATCGACCCAGAGCAAAACAGGTCACCCGGACCCAGGACTAACGCGGGTTCACCGGGTGTGAAGCGCTCAATCTGTCGTTTTTCCGGCGATGTCCGCGTCTTGCCTCGACCTGCGCAGCGCGATTTCAGCACCACCGCAGCTGGACAGCGACCGCATGGAACTCGCGCTCGATCCCGGCCGTCAAAGCTCGCCAGACACCGGGGAATATCAGACCCTCACGCTGATACACACCGCGCCCGGGGGGCTCGGCATGGCTTTGGAGGAGGAGCTGGCCATGCTCACCGGGGAACGGGAGGACGATCTGGAGGTATCCGCCTCAGAGACACCTGTGAGCGGACAGGACTCTGATCTACTGTCGCTCTTCCGGCAGAAAGAAAAGGACTTGGTCCTCGCTGCTAAACTGGGGAAAGCTCTACTTGAAAGAAACCAAGACCTCACAAAGCAATATGACAGAATTACCAAGGATTTAAACGACAAACTGGAGGTGAGGAGCTCTAAAACTCCACTTGGGTGTAGATACACTGCCCAACAGTTTGCAGAAACAAAAAGTCTGGAACTTAATAAGTCAAGTTGACATGCCATAAGTTCGGCTGTCAGATTCCTAAAGTTGTTTAGTTTTCTGCAGAATTCGGGTTTCACACACACACACACACACACACACACATACACTGAAAAAAAAATAATATGCTTTATCTAATCAATAAAATTGTGGCAACATATTACAAGCAATATTATTAATTAAATTGTTCAAATTAGAATTAATTAGAATATTAATTTGATTAACTATTACTAAATTCTAATTTGTTCAGTTTAATAAATAATATTGCTTGTAATCTGTTGCAATTTTATTGATTAGATCAATTCGTGTACAGAATCAATTGAAAACAGAAAATGAAAAGTAACCCCCCAAATATCAATAATCAAGTTACTATATTAATAAGAGTAAATTATTCATGATTACACATAACTATAAAAGTTAGTAGTTCTAATCTAAGTAATCTAATACTTTGTTTATCAGCAGTGCTGATTGATTTTGCATGCATGCGTTGTTTGTTTACATGGGTGTGCAGTCAGTCTGCTTTTCTAATTATTAATCAGGATGTATAAAAATATTAAAGAGCATGATGGAGCAAATCATTTAAATGACTTGAACACATTAGCGTGTAAAATTATTCCTCATGCTGAACTCCTGAAGAGTCACCAACTCCATCTGTATCTCAAGACAATTGCACAAATATCCACACATCTTAAATGCTAATTGTTTCTAAGACTCATATTATTATCTATTCATAATGTCTATGATAGTGCATTGTGAAAACACAAACACTCGAACCAGAGTTAACGGCATCCATACATGTCCAGACTGCATTTACTATCACTGAATAGACCGTGTGAAGACGTTGACCGAGTTGAACCTCGTTCAGACCTATATGGGCTTTTTCAGCGATGCTGCAAGCTAAGCTAATGTGCTTTGGCTCCGATCAGCTGGCCAGATCCTCGACAGGTTCTTGGCAGTTCTCCACGCACCTTTGACTTAAACCTCTCGCCTTAATCTACATCCTACAGTAGTTCAAACATACTTATATTTTCTGACAATCACCCTTCGATTGAGGAATCCTTATTTGTTCATATTAACACCCTCTTACAAAAGCAAGTAATCAGCATTGAAATGACTTCTTCGGTTAGTTAGTTTGATAGCCTTCACAGTGGATTTCACGGGCTTTAATCAGTGCCAGATTTCATTTTCTGCAATTACAGCTAGTGCTCTCAGAGGTGCCCGGGACTGAACCTGCCTGACCCTCGCAAACCATCAAATCCACGTGTCTAACTAGCATTACAGCTTTTCTGCCCCCCTTAGACAAGAAGAGACCATATGACCAACATGTAAGGCGACCAATCACACGCTGTCTGTTGCGTGCCGTTTAGGGCCAGGGTTATTTAAAATAGTTGATGCCACAAAAGCTTAGAACTAATAGGGTTAGAGCTAATACTGCTATATAATGATGGTGTTCATGCCATCATTTTTGTTTTATTGATTACTTTGTCTTGTTTTAATGCTGTATCACTTTTAAGTTTACTGTGTTTTTTCTTTGTTTATTAATCACCTAAAGGATTATTAGGAACACCATACTAATACTGTGTTTGACCCCCTTTCGCCTTAATTCTACGTGGCATTGATTCAACAAGGTGCTAAAAGCATTCTTTAGAAATGTTGGCCCATATTGATAGGATCGCATCTTGCAGTTGATGGAGATTTGTGGGATGCACATCCGTTCCATCACATCCCAAAGATGCTCTATTGGGTTGAGATCTGGTGACTGTGGGGCCATTTTAGTACAGTCAACTCATTGTCATGTTCAAGAAACCAATTTGAAATGATTGGAGCTTTGTGACATAGTGCATTATCCTGCTGGAAGTAGCCATCAGAGGATGGGGACATGGTGGCCATAAAGGGATGAACATGGTCAGAAACAATGCTCAGGTAGGCCGTGGCATTTAAACCATGCCCAATTGGCACTAAGGGGCCTAAAGTGTGCCAAGAAAACCATTACACCACCACCACCAGCCTGCACAGTGGGAACAAGACATGATGATCCATGTTCTCATTCTGTTTACGCCAAATTGGGACTCTAAATGGTAAATGGACTGCATTTATATAGCGCTTTCATAGACCTAATGGCCACCAAAGCGCTTTACATTTTGCCTCACATTCACCCATTCATACACCGACGGCGGTGTCAGTCAGCTCGTCGGGAGCAGCTGGGGTTAGGTTTGTACACAACCCACATGAACCACTGAGCCACTGCCTGAACACACACTCTACCATCTGAATGTCTCAAAAGAAATCGAGACTCATCAGACCAGGCAACATTTTTCCAGTCTTCAACTGTCCAATTTTGGTGAGCTCTTGCAAATTGTGGCCTCTTTTTCCTATCTGTAGTGGAGATGAGTGGTAGCCGGTGGGGTCTTCTGCTGTTGTAGCCCATCCGCCTCAAGGTTGTGCATGTTGTCTGCATACCTCGGTTGTAACGAGTGGTTATTTCAGTCAAAGTTGCTCTTCTATCAGCTTGAATCAGTCGGCCCATTCTCCTCTGACCTCTCGCATCAACAAGGCATTTTCGCCCACAGGACTGCCGCACACTGGATGTTTTTCCCTTTTCACACCATTCTTTGTAAACCCTAGAAATGGTTGTGAGTGAAAATCCCAGTAACAGCAGATTGTGAAATACTGTCTGGCACCAATATCCTTGCCACGCTCAAAATTGCTTAAATCACCTTTCTTTCCCATTCTGACATTCAGTTTGGAGTTCAGGAGATTGTCTTGACCAGGACCACACCCCTAAATGCATTGAAGATTAGCTATGATTGGTTGATTAGATAATTATATATATATATATATATACATATATAAAAGATTCTCAGAATGTACAAGTGAATTGTATGTTAAAAACTTGTGAATGGGAGTGTATCTCGTTCAGTTCTCAACTCAACTCATTCAAAAAAAAAAAAATAAGGTTTTATTGCCTTGCTAGTTTATTTGCCACTCAGAGTCTTACAGAAAACCATATCTGTCAACGATTTGATCCAACCTGGCAAACTTTGGCAACTAGTTAATCAAATCCAGGAATTTAATTGGAATTTAAAAAGCATTTAATTGTAAATAAATGTCAGTGACCCTGTTTCTCTTCCAGCTCCTGGAGCAGGAGAAACATGAGCTGCGTCGTCGTTTGGAGAGTCGCGAGGGGGAATGGGAAGGCCGGGTGGCTGAACTGGAGACAGATGTGCAACACCTGCAGGGGGAGCTGGAGAGACATCAGGTGCAGCTGCGTGAGGCCGACCGGGACAAGAGCCGGGCCATCAGCGAGCTGTCAGAACAGAACCATCGGCTGCTGGAGCAGCTCAGCAGGGTGAGTGTATGTGTGTGTGTGTAGTCGCTAGCTAGTGTGTCTCTTGAGGCCAGGGGAGTGAGGTTTACACACACAGATCTTACTGGATGGTCTCTGTTAAGTGCACTCAAAAGGGTGGAGATGCTGGCTCGAATCACAGGATGTAGTGCTAACAGTTTGCAATGGGTCAGAAGAGGGAAAAACACTTGATGATGATGATGATGAAGGTGTGTTTTGAAAACTTGAAGCTGAGTTTAGTAATGGCAGGTTCTTTGTGCAACTCTTGTTCACAGACACATCTGAATTGTCATTGAGTCTCATTGATTTTGCCCCAGGATGGCTGTAGTGTTGTAGCAATGACGCAGGTCACACAACAATCACACCAGCGTCCCCCTGACAGACTGATGTTAATATTTTTAACGTTCAGATTGACTGCAGCTGTCCCTAACACTCACAATCAGGCCTCATAATGCTTTAATGCTGTCAATCCTTGTCAGTTTCATTTACTCCGACACACACACACACAATACACACACTTCCTATTACCACATGGTTCTATTAATGTTCACACATAATGGCAGAAGAACCGATGATGATGAACTAATCAAGACTGGCAGCACATGGTCTTCCAGCTGAGGGCAATAACACCAGTAAAACCAGAACATGTTCTCAGAAAAGAATGAAAAGAGAATAAAGGCCCGTTCACACCAGGAACTATAGTAGTTCATTTTTTAGAAGTTAAAATGATAAATAAATTAATAAACAATAACTATTACTATACTAGCGTTCACAACAGCGGACTGTTTATTCTAAGTGCATACTCAAATTAGCTCAAACGTGCGGCGTAACACGAGAACGAACCCCATTGGTTCTCACTGAACCTCAAAAGTGCCGCGTAACATGAGAACGAACCCCATTGGTTCTCACTGAACCTCAAACGTGCCGCGTAACATGAGAACGAACCTCATTGGTTCTTAGCTCAAACTTCATACATAAAACGAGAACGAAACTCATTGGCTCTTGAAAAATCTCAAACGTGTTGCGTAACATGAGAACGAACCTCATTGGTTTTTATATTAGAATGATTTAGTTCTGACATATATCAGCCTATAAATGGAGACACATTTCTTGTAGTAAAGGTAGTAGTCGTGGTGTGGCCGGTTACCATCAGTAGTTCCCTGTTGTTTTCAATTAGTTTAAGTAGTTAAACCCAGAAGCTCGTCGGCTGCTGATGGTGATGTTCTCTGAAGCAAGAAAGAGGCTCTGAATATGAGATAACTAGATGGGCTTGACAGATCTACTAATGGATCTCTTGCTGCAGAGTTCAGACTCAGATGACCTTCCTTCAGTGGTACAAGCAACAGGAAGTGACATAAGGCAGAGTGACTCATGCATGAACTCAGGTGGGATTAGGGTTTAATCTAGATCCTCTTTCCTTTACCAACAGCATTAGGGATAGCCGACTGGAACAGAGCAAGAACAGTCTGCGGTTGCATATCTGACTGAAAGAAAACATATGTACATATTAGCACCTAAATGTACATATTAGCACCTAAATGTACAGATTAGCACTTAAAATGTACATATTAGCACCTAAAATGTACAGATTAACACCTAAAATGTTCATATTAGCACCTAAATGTACAGATTAGCACCTAAAATGTTCATATTAGCTCCTGAAATGGACATATTAGCACCTAAAATGTACATATCAGAACCTAAAATGTACATATCAGCACCTAAAATGTACATATTAACACTTAAAATGTACATATTAGCACCTAAATGTACATATTAGCACCTAAAATGTACATATTAGCACCTAAAATGTACATATCAGAACCTAAAATGTACATATTAACACTTAAAATGTATATATTAGCACCTAAATGTACATATTAGCACCTAAAATCAGTGTTGTGCAAGTTACTTCCAAACTGTAATACATTAGGTATTACTTGTTACTGTTATTTAAAAGTAATTCATTACCTTACAATATTACTGTCTCAGAATTGTAATGCGTTACATTACTCATGTATTACTTTTGAGTTACTTTCACCAAAATAACTAAGTAGAACTTAACTTTTGGGCTGTAACGATATGCAATATGAAACCGAAATCGCGATTCGCCACACGACTCAGATCCACGAACCTACAGAATCGCGACACACCTCTTCATATCCAATGCTGCCTTATCCTTAAATTAGGCTATTAGTATTATTTGAAGTTAACATTATAAAATATGTAGACCTACACCACAAAACTAGTTGAGGATAAATTATTTAAAATTGGGGAAGTCCAGCATTATGGACATTTGCAGTCAAAACTTGAAGTAAAAATTCTCAGAAAATACATGTATTGATTTATAGGCTACTTCCTCAAAGGACTCCAGACATTAGACAAATATCAGTCTGTTTTATTTTTAATATTAGGGAAAAGACACACATTCATGCGTGACAAAAAAATAGGAGGTAAAATATATTTTTTGTAATTCTGTTAATTACACTGCGCAAATCGGATGAGGAAGGGTTGGCTCTCCAGTCTCCATAGAACTTAAAATATTCATTTTATTTTAGTTTTCGTGTTCGCATTTATGAGGAAAAAACAATGTTACAGACGCGACCGCTCTGAACTGGCACTAAAAGACTGCTTTAAAACTTTCACATAGTCTGTTGCCTTTAAGAAGTAAAAGCAGACAATACACTGTAATACAACTGTAATACAAGCCTCACTGAACATGTAACAAGTAAAATATTACTGAAAATTGATTAGTAATGCCTTACACTACTGCGTTACTGCAAAAAGTAATATGTTACTGTAATGTATTACTTTTGTAATGCATTACTCCCAACACTGCCTAAAATGGACATATTAGCTCCTGAAATGGACATATTAGCACCTATAATGTACATATCAGAACCTAAAATGTACATATTAACAATTAAAATGTACATATTAGCACCTAAAATGGACAAAAGCTTACCTTTGGAAAAGGGACAGCCCCAGTGACAGCTTTTGTACCTTTTTTTTCGGAGAGTGTGATATAGCCCTATGCTTTGATTGTATGCAGCAATTGCATTTTTTATTATTTCTCTCAAGGATCTTTTAGGAGAAACATTGATAACACTTTACAATAAGGTTTCATTTGTAAACATTAGTTAACATGAACTACACACTTCTAAAGCATTTATTTATCTTCATGTTAATTTCAGCATTTTAGTTTTAAATTTACTATTTAAAAATAGCGGGGTTATTCTGGATAATCTAGCGCGTGCAATGATTACGCAGTGAATGGTGACGATTCTCTCTGACCAATCAGCAGTCGGCATTGTTTTTCCGTCGCATTTTAGTATCGCCTCAGCTCGCTCAGAACTTTTACACAGTGGGAAACCAAACCGAGTCGAGTCGAGCTGGTACTGTGCAGTGGAAAAGCTACATAAAGGACCTTACTGTAAAATGTTAAGCATCTGAGACAGATTTTATTCTGGAGGGACAGTGGTAACTCAACTAGATAATGAAGTAGAGGTTGACAAGTAGGTAATGCCTAGCTAATACAGACAGCATTAATGCTTAGCTAATGTACTGGACATATTGTGTTGTGTTGGACAGATGCTTTCTGTTGCACACACACACACACACACACACGTCTGTCTGCCAGTCCTGGAAGCAGGGGGTTGTCAAAAAAGAGAGGACCCCAGCAGCCTAATCTGATCAGTGAGAAGCATTTTACTAATTACATTACAAAGGTTTAGAGAGAGAGAGAGAGAGAGAGAGAGGATGAGGGGAGATGGACACCGAACAAAAATAGACCCACATTTCATTATCAAGATGGAGTGATTTTATAAATGATCCCATTGATTATATGTTCACTGGTTTGGCTGCATTGGAAATGAATGGCAAAGTAACATGGGTAACAGGTTGTGGGGTCAGACAGAGACTTTCTTCAGTTTCAGAGCTCCTTCTATGGTTAACCCTGCTGGGACGTCTTATCCCAAAAATAAACGATCACATTTTGTCTAATTTTCCTAACGATTTGCTATAGCTGCCCGCCCCATAAGCAGGCCGTCAAACGAGTCTCTGCAGGCAGCTCGGCTCTCAAATCTGCACACACAAACATTGGGGTACAAACACTCGAAACCAAAATAAAAAGTGTTTCAACCAATCAAGGTCAAGCACAAAACCTCACAAAACCCGCCCCTGTCGGTGATTGGTTGGAACACTGTTTATTTTGGTTTTGAGTGGTGGTTGTACCGATTTGTTTTTGTGTGCAGTGCAGATTTCAGAGCTGAGGCGTTTTTTGACAGCCTGCTTATGGGGCGGGCAGCTAGCGGATCGTTAGGAAAAATTAGATGAATGTGATCATTTATTTTTGGGCCTGAAATCACCGACACAAACTTTAACCCTCAGGTGCTCTTCGTTTCGGAGTCACACTTGTTATCTTCCCGGTTAAAAGTGACCGGACACCTAAAAA